CCTCAGTCTCTCAAACTGTTGAGATTACAGGCGTGAGCCACCGTGCCAGGCCAGAAGTTTTATTTCCAAACCCCACGAAGGCATTACAAATAACAGAGATAGAAACCCAAATTAAGCTCTGAAACAACTGGAGACAGGCCTGCCTAGGTGATCAGGAGCATCCAGGCAGCAGGGATGGGAAGCAGGAGAGATGCATTCCAGATAAGGACCTCACCCCAGAGCCTTAGTCTGTATATACGTGTGACTATTCAGGGGCTGGAAGTTGAGAACCAGAAACCCACCTGGGTGGGAGGCAGAGAAGGCAGCAGCACGTGAGGTCAAGGACATTACCAAGTCTGACCCTGGCATTTGTCACCTGCTCTGATCCCCAACAGTCCATAAATAAGTTATCCAGCGCATCTCAGGGATGGAGGCGGGGGAGCAAGCCAACTAGCCATAGCCTCTGGAAGGGGCAGGCCAGCCTGGCACTGGGGCAGAGCTACAGCAGAATGCAGTCTGACTCGTGCTTCGGCCTCTGCCGACGCTCCCCAGCTGGGCGTCCAGATGTGGCTCCTCTCCCCTGTATCGAATTTAACAATCGGTCACTGAACTTCCTTGGAAGCGCACAAGAAGAGATTCTAGAAGGAGGGGTGTCAGGATTGGGACAGGGAGTAGGGAGAGGAAGATAGGAAGGGACTCCAGGGGAGAGGGACAGGCAGGGGAAGGGCCCTGAGAGAAGAAACCTTGAAGAGACCAGTGCAGGAATAACAGGTGTTCTGGACCCGGCAAAGCATGAGGTGGAAACCGGGAGTGTGGGCGCCCGGGCAGCAGCCCACCTGCGGTGACAGGGCCCGTGTCCGCGTCCACACTGGCTGCACTGCCTGCTGCTGTTGATACTCCTCTTGCTGAAGCTGCTGGGCCAGCTCCAAGTCGGTGAGCCCCAGCGCGCCTTGTGGCTGCTGCTGCTGCAGGGACAGAGCAACCAGGTAGTCCTGGGGAGAACAAGAGTTGTACAGTGGGCTGAGGCCCAGAGCTGTGGCTATTCAGGCGAGGTTTCCAAATCAGTTTTTCCGCATCCCTCAAATTCTGTAGCTCTTTCTCCCTACGGAGCAGCACACACAGCCAAATGCATTATCTGTGGTGCCAGAGAATACACACCAAGTGAGGAGACGATCTGAGGTAACCCAGAGAAAGAGGCATGGATTCACATGGCCTCTAGCGGTTAAAATGTATATGGCAAAAAGCTCCCTGAGGCACATGTGCTCTCTGCACTTTTCCTAAGTGCCCTACACACCTGGTCTACCTGCAGCTGCTTTTCTGGGGAGCCACTCCCACCTTCTGCTCCAGGCCCCTTGCCCAGGGAATGACTCAGGTGAAAGTCGGAGTCACAAAAGCAGCTGTCTCCATCCACATTGTGCAGGCTCTCCCATACGACTTGCTCCTCGTGTAGAAAGCCCTGGTCAGTGACCAGTAGGTATAAGTGACTCTACAAAGAAAAGAACAGAGCTCACTGCGGGGACAGGTGATACAGAGGCAGTTTTTTTTTTTTTTTTTTTTTTACAGAGTCTCACTCTATCACCCAGGCTGGAGTGCAGTGGCCGGATCTCTGCTCACTGCAAGCTCCGCCTCCCGGGTTCACGCCATTCTCCTGTCTCAGCCTCCCGAGTAGCTGGGATTACAGGCACCCACTACCATGCCTGGCTAATTTTTTGTATTTTTTTAGTAGAGATGGGGTTTTACCATGTTAGGGAGGATGGTCTCGACCTCCTGACCTCGTGATCCGCCCTCCTCGGCCTCCCAAAGTGCTGGGATTACAGGCATGAGCCACCGCACCCAGCCCCTCAGCATGTGGACCTTTTATAAATATGTGTGGCCTTGGGGGGAAGAAAGGGATGTCTGAGTGTATGTCCAGTTGGGTGTGAGCACGGTGGTCATTCTGACCAAGCATGGCATGCAGTCGTTGGGGCTGAGATGCCACACAAGACCCTGCTCTCCCCATTTCCCGTTGTTCTCTGGGCTTGCCTGATGGCTCTTAGGATAAATCCTTTGAGAACCAGAGACCCCTCCCTCTACTGCTCAAATCCTAGAGAACTTTGGCAGTTTCTAACTTTTGAAGACCAGCATTGTTCAAAAATTCCACTGCCCCCTCCTAGGGGAGGATCGGACTTTCCTGTACCATCGACGGCAGGCTTATCCCTTATGGCTTGCTCTGGCCAGAAGATGTGAGCAGAAATGACATGTGTCATTTCCAAACAGAAGCTCTAAGCATGAATGCACAGTGCCCCCCTCTCTGTGTTCCCACATATATTCCAGATAAAGGATCTTTTGTCAGCTGGGTCCCAGAGTGAAAATGGTATGGGACAGAACCATAGCCAGTTCACAGTGGACATGCACCAGGAGCGGGAAATGAACCTTTGTTGTGGTAAACCACAGGGATTTGACGGGTCACTTGCTACCACGGCTTAATCTAGCTGATCCCAGCTGGACCCATGAGAAAAAGGCACCAGGAAATGACAGCACCGCAGCCCGCCGCCCTCAAACCCGCATTACCTTATGCTTAGTCATGGTGCTAAAGTGGTTGTTTCGGAAAAAGACGCTAAGTTCATCCTCCTTAGCAGCTGCTGTCAGCTCACACAGTCCGTGGTAGGTCAGCTGGGCCGCGGTGGTCTCCAGGAACTGCTCTGCAATCAGGCCTGCCAGAGGGGACAAGTTGAGGGAAACTTGGCTTGAATTCAAGGTCCACAACAGGAAAGACCATCCAGAGAGCCCCTGTCAAAAGCCCCGGGGGTCAGTCCCACCTTCTGACGTCCCTTTCTTGAAACCTGGCTGTATTCATTCACTTAACAAATACTTATAGAACAGCTACCTCATGCCAGGCACTGGGGATACCCCAGTGAACTAAACAGAAATTCCCCAAGCTCCTTCTTGTGAAGCTTATACCTAGTGGGATGTGGTGGGAGATGACACACAATAAAAAATAAGCCTAAGTAGCCATCATTCCCTCCACATACTATTCATGAGAAGGGGAGGAATGTCACCTTCCGTCACGAGGTTGGTGTCACTGGAGTGTTTGCAGGTGATGATCTTCTCCACCAGCTGGTTGTAACTCAGTTTCCCAACTGCACGCACAGCCTCAGGACTCTGCTTGAGTAGTGGGATGGTAGGATACCAAAATAATTGGGATTTTTTTTTTTAAGGAAGGAAATGAACAAAGCTCACAAGGTCTACAACCCTATGATGAATGGTTCCTAAACACTGTTTTTTTTCGTCTCTCAAAAAAAAAAAAAAATTTCAGGAACCATTCATCATAGGATTGCTATGTTGCTCAGACTGGCCCCGAACTCCTCCCAAGTAGCTGGGAATACAGGCATGTGCCACCAAACCCATCTGGTTCCTGAATTTTTGATGTCTAAAGAACTGACCTATTTGCATGTAGTTTGCTTGTATTTGCATGTTATCCCCAAAATTGGTTAAAATTCAAGGACTTCTGTACTGGGTCTAGTCTCCAAACCCTATTTCCCTCCCAAGCCATTCTAACCCCTAACTCCCTAACCTCTACCCCACAAAAACTTGCCTCTCTCATGTCAGCTTAAGCTGGATAAGGTCCCAGTGGGCCCTCCCACCCTCACCTGTGGATCAACAAGCCAGCCATGGTACAGAGGTATGCCTAGTAGGTCAAAGACACTGCATTCAGGTGTATACTCAAAATCAGAGACGCCTGTGAATCGCACATTGACATCCAGACCTGTGGCCAGTTTAGGCAGCACTGTTATTGCATCATCCACATTCTGGGGGTAGAAAAAAGATGATGGACATTCTAGCCTTTTCTCCCACCACTCCACTTCCACCTCCAGAAATTAAAAATTAACCTTGTTGCTTTTCTTTCGCGATTCTCTTACAAGCCACTCCATTTCTCCCTTGCCTCAACCCTTCTCTATGAACACTGTTTTTCTTTTAGAGTTTAAGTCTCATTCTTTCATCCAGGCTGGAGTGCAGTGGTGTGATCCTAGCTCACTACAGCCTCAAACTCTTGGTTTCAAGTGACCCTCCCACCTCAGCCTCCTGAGTAGCTGGGACTACAGGCACGTACCGCCATACCTGGCTAATTCTTGAAAAAAATTTTTTTTTTTGTAGAGACAGGGGTATTATTATGTTGCCCAGGCTGGCCTCGAACTCCTGGCCTCAAGTGATCCTCACGCTTTGGCCTCTCAAAGTGCTGGGGTTACAGGTGTGAGCACTCGGCCAATGAACATATTTTCTAGGACAAAGATAAACTCTCCTTTGACTCCTGCAGAATAAAATCATGGTTCAAGGAAACCTCTGAAGAACAACAAAAGCTTCTCTTAGTATTTCAAGATGTCCCCTTACAAACCTGCAGACCCCTATGCCCACAGACCTTCTGCCTCACCTGCTGGAAATTAAGCCGAAGTCCCTCTGACTTCTCCTGGGGCTTGATGGACAGGAGGCAGTTTCCTACAAGACAGGACCTCTTAGCTTACCCCACCAATGGCCTCAAAAGCTAAGTTTCCTCGGGTAATGTCACAGAACACAGATTTTCAGAGCTGGAAAAGACTTAGAGTCTAATCCGGACTCTTCATTTCTCAAAGGAAGCAACAGGCTCATAAAGGTGAAGGGCCCACCCAGGGTCAGATAATAAAGCTAAGGGCAGAATTGGTGTTACAACCCAGGACTCCTGACACCTTTGCTTTTCATTATCCAGCCTTGCAGAGAAGCCCCATAGACCCTTACCCTCCCTGCCATATCAGAACCCCCAAATGGAGATCCCTGAATAGTCTGGATTTCTGGCTGAGTGGATAGCTCTGGAACCCTTTGGGTAATTCCTCTTCAAGGCCCAGTCACTCACCAAGATGGGCCATGAGCTCATCCGATGTGATCACTTCCTTCTGCAGGGGGAGCTTCACCTGGAGGCAGAAGGGGTGATCACGTGTGTGCTTTCCCCCAAAGAGCACTAAAGGAAGAACCCATGGAAAGGCAAGGGGGAGCTCCAGTAGTAGGGTGGGGTAGGAAAAAAGGCTTGCAACAGGCACAAGGGAATGAATGTGAAATCTTGCAAGGCATGTGCATTTGCTAGGGAGTAGGAGATACAGGGGTAGGACAGATCTTTCTCTTTTTCTTTTTTTCTTTGTTTTTAGGAACATCTTATCTCATTTGCTCAAGTTGGAGAAATATGGAGAATAATCTGAAAAGTTTTGACTGGTTTGAGAATATCAGGATGATCAAGGAAGTAGGTCAGGGAAGAGTACTCCCTGATATTTTTTGCACCCCTAACTGGGTGTTCTCTTACCTTCCACTGAAGAAAGAGGATATTCATGATGGCAAGGAGAGGGCAAGGGCCATTACTGCTCTGGGTGATGATAGGTGTCCGTTCTCCTTTCCAAGGGATCCACTTGACACAGTAGAAATCTGGCTCAGGCTGTCGGGTCCTGGGGGACTGAGGAAGCTCCTGGGGCATGGAGCATGCCCTCATTGTCTCTACTTCAGGCAGTGTCCCAAGGGTTGGCCCCAGTGGAGCTGAGCTAGCTTCAGGCAGAGGGGACTCAAGGTTGTCCCCACACTGGCCACGCAGCAAAGCTTGGCCCCGTTTTCCAGCCTCCCCATCAGCATCTCTTGCATCTGCGTTCTGAGGGTGCTCATGTGGGCCTGCCAGAAGCTCATGGTTTTCAGGGATGACTGCTTCTGCAGTCCCGGCCTTACCAGGGGTCGGATCCTCAGGCTGATGGTGTTCCATAGTCAAAAGGGACTCAGCTGAGGGGCACTGAAGGTGTTTACTGACCTCAGGGACTTGCCTAAGCCAGGCTTGGGATGCAAAAGAGGGACCTGTTCAATAAGAAGAAAATCAGTGGGCTGGAAAGCAAACTAACCCAGATAAGTCTTGGAAAAGGAATGTAGTGTAGAAGGCTGGTTAGTGTTTGTGCAGTCACTCCTGGCTAGGGGCAGTATATGTGTAAACAGAAGGGTCCTGTGCTAAGCTCTTTCCACCTCTAACTTGCTGTGACCAGATGAGACCAAGAGGGCACGGGGCGGAGGGAAGACTGGTGGGATTGAAGACATGGGTGGAGTCAGCTTCCCTGAAACAGATCGTGACAGGGAAGGAAGAAAAGACAGAGAGAAAGGGAGAGCACAAAGGAGAAAGAAGGAAAAGAGGTGGAGAAAGAAATGTTAAATCTACGCTAATGGTTATTAATATGATGATCTTTAGCTTACTCTAATAGGCATCACATCAGTAACTGCCTCATAGCCATATTCCCTCACAGGGATAATTCCTCTGCCCTACCCTACACCCTGCCCCTTCACACAACATACTAAGCATACACAGGCTGCTTGTATTTTTAGGGATATCTTCTCTCTGCCTCACCCAAGGATAAAAAGATTAACAGTCACATAGTGCTTGGGGTGAAGAATGGAGGAGGCACAGAGTCAGTGTCATGCCCCTAAAGGCGAAATGCTGGTGAGGAAGGGGAAGTCTTCCTCCTCAAAGGGCTCTTCCGAACCATACGCAATACGAGACCACAGTATAAAGGCCTTGGGAGGGGTTTCCTGTAAGCTGGGAGGGGAAATGTAGGTAGGGGGTGACTGGAATCAGAGACTGGTTTTAATAAGTGACTTCAGATTAGGGACACAAAAAGCACTCCCCACAAGTTCTTCCAGTAAGCTTCTCTTTAAAAAAAAAATTAATAAAGATATTCAAATTTATTTTAATTAAATTGAGACAGGGTCTTGCTTTGTTGCCCAGGCTGGTCTCAACTCCTGGGGCCCCAAGTAATTCGCCCTCCTCAGCCTGTCAAAGGACTGGGATTATAGGCATGAGCCACGGTGCCTGGACCCAGAAAGCATCTCTTGACAGCTAGAGTTGAGACAGCAACTTTTCCTCAGTTCATTTTTTTTTTTTCTTCCAGAAGCTGCCTAAACCCAGAGATACTCTCTGGCCTGCTATTTCTATGAAATATGAAAATGCTGATTATTAATTTACTTAACAATACTCCCTCTACATTCACCTACCTGAAGTTTTATGTCTATTCCCATCCAAGTGGTTTTATTTATTTATCTTTATTTTTTTGAGACGGAGTTTTGCTCTTGTTGCCCAGGCTGGAGTGCAGTGGCACAATCTCAGCTCACCGCAACCTCTGCCTCCTGGGTTCAAGTGATTCTCCTGCCTCAGCCTCCCGAGTAGCTGGGATTACAGGCATGCACCACCATGTCCGGCTAATTTTGTATTTTTTAGTAGAGACGGGTTTTCTCCATCTTCGTCAGGCTGGTCTCAAACTTCCGACCTCAGGTGATCCTCCCACCTCGGCCTCCCAAAGTGCTGGGATTACAGGCATGAGCCACCGCACCCAATCCTATCCAGGTCGTTTTAGATGTGAACACTGGACCTGTTTAACCTGCTCTCTATCAGCACTAGAGGCACACTGAGGCAAGTACAGATAGACATTTAACTAATGCTGTGGGTATAAATAATAAAAAACCACAAATCCTGCCCTTTGGAAAACATCTCCCTTTAATCTCCTTGCTCCCCTCCCACTCTTTATCAAGGAGAGAAACAGGGAGAAATTAAACTAGTTAGGGACCAGGCGCGGTGGCTCACACCTGTAATCCCAGCATTTTGGGAGGCTGAGGCGGGCAAATTACTTGAGATCAGGAGATCGAGACCATCCTGGCCAACATGGCGAAACCCTCTCTGTATTGAAAATACAAAAATTAGCCAGGTGTGTTGGTGCGTGCCTGTGTCCCAGCTGCTCAGGAGGCTTAGGTGGGAGAATTGCTTGAACCCAGGAGGCGGAGGTTGCAGTGAGCTGAGATTGTGACACTGCACTACAGCCTGGACGACAGAGCGAAACTCCATCTCAAAAATAAAATAAAACAAAATAAAATAAATTAAACTAGTTAGAAATCTTGTCTTTTCCCCATCCTCCTCCCAACCTGAGACTGCTTCCTTCTTGTAAACCTACATGAATTTGGGGCTAGGGGAAGGCCTGGGAGATGAGGTTGAGGAACATTAAAGTTACTGAAATAGAATAAGCCTAGTCACTCAAATTGATTATCCTCTTGATTCACGTATGTTTATGCTAGCTGCATATCATTTACTTGTTGTTAATTTAGAATCAGAGTAGCAAAAACTGCCTGCAGGCCTTACACTTTTTTTCTCTCTCTTTCTCTCTCTCCTTTTCTTCTCCCCTTAAATGACACTTAGGGTGAACCTCAAAGCAGATGCCAGAGCCTGGAAAAGTAAAAAAGCTTGAAGAAAAGCAGGCCTCGGCTGGGCACAGTGGCTCACACCTGTATCCCAGCACTTTGGGAGGCCAAGGCGGGTGGATCACCTGAGGTCAGGAGTTCAAGACCAGCCTGGCTAACATGGTGAAACCCCGTCTCCACTAAAACTACAAAAATTAGCCAGGCGTGGTGGCGGGTGCCTGTAATCCCAGCTACTCAGGAGGCTGAGACAGGAGAATTGCTTGAACCCCGGAGGTGGAGATGGCAGTAAGCCAAGATTGTGCCACTGCACTCCAGCCTTCGTGACAAGAGTTAGACTCTGTCTCAGAAAAAAAAAAAAAAAGAAAAGAAAAGCAGGCCTCAGTTTTTATATTTTCTGTCCAGTGCCAGAAATGATCAATGATGAAGTGGGGTTGGGCAGCTAGCTGGCTGGAGAGGTGAGCCAAAGGAACCCAGGAACACCTGAGGGAGTGGGGTCTCAGAGGAACTGGGCAGAGCTAAATGGGCTAAGTCTTAAGAGGCAGGGGCAGGAAATGTAATGGAAGGTTTCTACCCTACGAGGTCCAATCCTGCTGGGGAGGGCATGGAGTATCTCAGAGTAGGAAAGAATGAGAGAGAGGATAGTCAGACAAATCAAAGTTTCATTCTCCTCCTCCTCTTTCTCAGCTCCTCAAGTCCTACACTTCTTCTCCAGCTGGAATTATGGTGGTGGGTGAGGGAATTAAAATAACCCTGGCTCCTCCCTAATCAATGGCAGTACAGAGTCAAAAGTTGGAAGAAGCATGTAAAACAGGTATGTAACTTCAAGAAGACACTCTTCCTCTCCGTAGGAACAATTCCCTTACTGTCCCACACCAATCTCTTTCTCAGTCTGACCTACGTCTTCATGCAATCAATAGTTTAGATTTTCATCTCAGAATATGTCAACCATGGCCACAGTGCCCTGTCTACTTGCTCATAAGGAGAGGGGGAGGGTTTCGTGCTTTCATTAAAAGGAGGAGGACCAAGCAGCATCCCCTTTACATATCTCTCCTGACTTAGCTCCTCTAAGCAATCCAGACTTGTAGACCAAAGGTGGAAGGACAGCAGGTGTCAGCTCCCCAGAGCTGGAGAGGAAATGGAGAGGGGTGGGAGAAGAAGTGAAGAAGATGATTAAAATAAAGTTTTTACCTTAAAGAAGTGGGTGCTGTTCCAAGATTGAGAAGGAGGGTTCAGCTGTGGCAATGCGATGGGGAAGATAGGTGCAATGAGGGGGTCTGCCAGTGCCAGCTGCCTTCCAGCTGTCAACGCCTGAGCTTATACAGGTTTACACAGCTTTGCGAGCGACAGTACAGGCTTGGTTGTGGCCACTTCCGGACTCACGCCCAGTACTGGGGGCACTGGAGAGGGTGAAGGCAGGCAGGGGCGGAGCCCAGGTGCTCCAGGTCACTCAGAGAGTCTTCAGGATTCCTGAGTCGCCGAGTCTAGGGCATGCGCTCCAGGCCCTGACTACAAGCTGGTTTTCAAAGGAAGTTTGTGGTTTTTCTTTTCTTCTCTCTCTCTCTTTTTTGTTCTCATCGGGACGAAGAAAAATTAGGCAAGGACAAGCTCCCTGGAGGAGGAGGGGCCTGCCCAGCGCTGGTGGATTTCCATCAGGGCTTTCTGACCAGGTCAGCAGCTTTGTGATCAGCAGAGAGGGAGCAAGAAACAGGAGAGAAAAACAACAGACCCTTTCTCTTCCCTCCGCCTGCCTCTGGAAGGGACGGAGCGCTTGTGCCTCTCTGGTGAGAATAGGGAAGAGCAAGTGCCCTTGCTGAGTGGGGAGGAGCAGGGCTGGACAGAAGCAGCTTGTTGGATCTGGGCTGTCTCTCTGGGTATGGCAGTTCTTTGCTCTCGATCCACAGAGGCAGGACCAAAGAGCACGATATTTGCATATATTACTCAGTTAATGTTAAAAACAAACAAACAAACTCAGCTCTTTTCCCTCTGGAGCCCTCCATAGAGGTCCTTTCCAAGTCCTTGCTGTATCATTTTTAAGTCTAGAAATGAAACTGGTTGGGTTGTGCACCTGGTAGAGTGCAGAGGGTGTGGAAGAAGCCCCAGGCTCTGGGTGCGATGGCTGACACCTGTAATCCCAGCACTTTGGGAAGCTGAGGCGGGCAAATCACGAGGTCAAGAGATTAAGACCAACCTGGCCAACATAGTGAAACCCCATCTCTACTAAAAATACAAAAATTAGCAGGGCGTGGTGGCATGCACCTGTAGCCCCAGCTACTCGGGAGGCTGAGGCAGGAGAATCACTTGAACCCGGGAGGCAGAGGTTGCAGTGAGCCAACATCCTGCCACTGCACTCCAGCCTGATGACAGAGCAAGACTCCGTCTGAAGAAGAAGAGGAAGAAGAAAAAAGAACTGGCAGAGCAGGCAGGCGATCCAACACCCCTGTGCTCTGGATCTTGGTTCCACCACAGGCCTCTCATCAGTCACCTCCTCTCGATTTACAGCTGGGGAAGCAGGAAAAGCTAGTGTGAGGCTGATGGTAGGAAATAAAGCGATAGATAAATAAATGAGGGAATTTTTGATGATGAGTGTCCATTTATTTACAGTACTTGCACTACCCTGCGGCTGCAAAGTGGCAGTTAAGGGAGGCTGGAACCTAACTCTACATTCTGAAGGGTTCCCTAAAACTCTATGTACAGGGTCGCCACAGGATGAAACTTCAAGCAACTCTAAAGGCTGAAAGAGCAGTTGGAACAATTAGGGTGGCAGAGAGCAAAAAGTCAAGGTTACAACCCTCCAAGAAAGGAAGGAGAAGATATTTGCGGAGGCTGTAGGAAAAAAACATGCTACAGAGTTGCAAAGGGAGAAGCAGCAGGAGTTGGCAGGAGACTGTAGGTGTTAGGTAAACAAGAGGGGTCAAAGATTATTCTAATGTTCTCCTAACATGAACAACCACAAAACTGGTGGTGATTGAATCAGTTTGGTAAAAGGCAGAATTTCGGGAAAGAAGATATGTTTTGCCAAGTGTCATTTAAAATGTCAACCGGATGCTCGGTGTGATATATGGAAAGATGTTATACTTAGCCTGATCTGAGAGGGAAAGTTCAGATGCCACAATATGGGTTACTGTGACACATACACATTTGTTTACCAAACAACGGATCCCTCAGAAAACGCTCCTTCCCTCGGTAGCTAGGGACATTGCGGAGCCGCAGGACTACGTTTCCCACGTCGCCCCACGCCACACCCCCTTGGCCTCTCCGGAAAGACGTCCCAGGAGCCTCTGGGCGTAGAGCCCCGCCTCCGCCGCTGGGGGAGGGGCGACGCCAAGCTCAGGAGCACCCGGTTACGCACTTCCTCCCGGGGTCGGAGGCCGATTCGCCGTGTGGCGGGTTCGAGTCCCGCCTCCTGACTCTGGCCTCTAGCCCCTGAGTCCCGGGCGGGGTGCATTCGCCGGGGAAACCTCTCCTCGACCACGGGCACCTCTCCTCGACCAGGGGCGACGGCGTACTTTGGCCTTCATCATGGAGGACTACCTGCAGGATTGTCGAGCTGCTCTACAGGTAACCGATCCCTGTATGTGACTGTAAGGAATGGAGCACGGGGTCCAGGAAGGACGAAGACGTGGGATCTGGGGAGCCTCGACGGTCCGTGTGGAGGGAACACTGAGTTGTGGGGAGGGGGGTTGGGGCCTGATCAGGTTTGGGGCATGAGGAGCGAGGAGCGAGAAGCCAGCTTAGGAGCGTGAGAATGCTGCTTGCTTAGTCTCCCGGTTTTTGGCTCCCCGCCTTTGGGGTCCGCCCGAGAGCTGGGAGAAGTCTTGGGTCTGAATCCTGCATTTGAGCCTCTGCTTGCTGTCATCTCGGTCAGTTCCGTCAAAAGGACCAGGACTGTGCGACCGCCAGCCGAGCCCCGCGAGGTGTGTTTATTCTTTTCTCCCCGCCCCTCTTTGAGTTCTCCGCTCCCAAGGCCTCGCTTGGCCCACTGGCCTCCAGGTGAACCTCGCGGGTAGGAGGGAACCGGTGCTCACGGCTTTATTTCCTCTGAATGGCGGTTTCTGTCTGGCGGGCTGAACTCATTTCTAAGTTAGAAGTAGTCACGGTATTTTACTTTAAGTCAGTGTTTTTAAACCAAACATACATAATCCATCAGGCATATTTGTTGACCCACAACCAGCATTCCTTTGCCTCCAGGTTTCTCCTTTGGCCTTAACGCACACACATTACATAAAAATTCTCCACTTGGAAGGGATAAGCACAAAGTGTGTTTAGAATCAAAACCATAAATATGACTACTGAATGCTTTGTGGCTTATTTTTGGTGCTCTCTGAGCCAGTTGGACTCACCCAGCCATGCTGAGCCGTCATGAGGCATTAGGCTGTTACCCCAGTTAGCAGCAAAAAGCTAACCAGAGACAGACTCCAGGAGGTCACCCGGCCCCTCTACTTTGAGTTATATTGCCCTGAAGAAACCTAGACAGATGGCTTGCTGAGCTTTCCTTTTTAGATATCTGAAAGTCAACAAATTCCCCTGGGGGACAGATTCTGTTCTTTAACAAATCCTGAAAGTCACTTAATTCCTGCTGCAGACTCAGCTGCTGGAATAAATGAATTGTCTTCATATTGAATTGGGGAGAAAGTCCATTTTAACACCAATTACATAGACATTTTCCTTGTGAAAAACAAATTTGGGGAGTTATTTCAATGCATAAGGCCATTTGGAACCAATCCCTTTTTGTTACGTCTGATTCCACCACAGAACTAATGTAGAGTTTTGGGGGCACTATTCTAAGTGCTAAACAGTTGGATTCCCCCCCCTCCAAGTAACCCAAATGACTGGTCTCTTCCACCATGTGGTAAAGTGCCCTTGGACCTGAAACCTCACTAAATAGTATTTCTTTGCATGCATCTATTCTCCAACATATATCCTCCAGAGCCTCCCCCCACCCCCAGGTTAGCAGTATATTCTCTATTTTTATTTTGTATTTGTTTATTTATTTTGAGCCAGGGTCTCACTCTGTTGCCCTGGCTGGAGTGCAATGGTGTGATCACCTCCCCAGCTCAAGTGATCCTCCCCCCGGCTCAAGTGATCCTCCCACCTCAGCCTCCCGAAAAAGCTGCGACTATAGGCAGTGCCACCATGGAGGGCTAACTTTTTGTATTTTTGTAGAGACAGGGTCTCGCCATGCTGCCCAATCTGGTCTCGAACTCCTGGACTCAAACAATCCCTCTGGCTTGGCTTCCCAAAGTGCTGGAATTATAGGTGTGAGCCACTGTACCCAGCCCTAATAGTATATTCTCTACAGCAATATGAAGCTGGAAAAATACTTGATTTTTCCAATATTGCTGGAATCCTGACCTTTCTCTACCTGCATTCATCCCCCAAGGAGCAAGATCTAGCTCTTCCTTTCAAACTTGTGAACTTGTGAAAGTTGAGATTGTGTCTTAGAGCTTTCATCATCACATAGCCTCTCCAGGGCCTGGAGAAATGAGAAAATTAGACTCTAGGAAGGTTAACAGGTGAACTGATGGCAAGACATACTGGTAGATGCCAACAATTTAGATTGCTTTAATTTTTTTTTTTTTTTTTTTTTTGAGATGAACTCTCACTGTCGCCCAGGCTGGAGTACAGTGGTGCAATCTCGGCTCACTGCAACCTCCACTTCCTGAATTCAAGCGATTCTTCTGCCTCAGCCTCCTGAGTAGCTGGGATTACAAGCTTGCGCTACCATGCCTGGATAATTTTTGTATTTTTAGTAGAGACAGGGTTTCACCATGTTGGCCAGGCTGGTCTCGAACTCCTGACCTCAAGTGATCTGCCTGCCTTGGTCTCCCAAAGTGCTGGGATTACAGGCATGAGCCACCACATCCAGCCTAGATTGCTTTAAATTATAGAAGTAGTAAATGTGTACTTCATGAACAAATTTAAATACCAAAGGGATATGGAATGAAAAAGATAAAGATCGTTTTTCTTCTCTCCTCTCCATCCAGTTCTCCAGAGGACACCCTGTTAAGTTTCTTGTGTAAAGAGAGAGAGATGATTTAGACAGATACATTCTTAAGTTTGAATGTTCCTGTTAAACTACAGTTTAATTATAACTTTCAGAAAATCATGAATGCTCTTCTTTGCACAGAATAAAGACAGCTGGTAATCCAGCCAAGTCTCCCGTTGCTACTATATTTTTAGTATTTGATACCAGAGAAATTTTCTACAGCCTCTGCCACAGAGACAATAGGATGTTCCATTAAAAAAAAATCTTATTTAACCTAATGTCCTATTTATGGTGACTCATCTTTCACTTCTAGGGGGGAGAAATCTTTGCTTCAGGCTGGGGCTGCATTGCGTTTTAGGTGTTCATCCTGGAGCCTTTGGACAATGTACTGTGTGCAGTTCTCAGGCATGAGGCAGGAATCAGGAGCTGGCTCTCCTTAGAAATTTGTAGTCCTGGCCGGGCGTGGTGGCTCAAGCCTGTAATCCCAGCACTTTGGGAGGCCGAGACGGGCGGATCACGAGGTCAGGAGATCGAGACCGTCCTGGCTAACACGGTGAAACCCCGTCTCTACTAAAAAATACCAAAAAACTAGCTGGGTGAGGTGGCGGGCGTCTGTAGTCCCAGCTACTCTGGAGGCTGAGGCAGGAGAATGGCGTGAACCCGGGAGGTGGAGCTTGCAGTGAGCCGAGATCCGGCCACTGCACTCCAGCCTGGGTGACAGAGCGAGACTCCGTCTCAAAAAAAAAAAAAGAAATTTGTAGTCCTGGCATCAGTATTGTTCCTATTTTCTCTGCTGAGAGGGTTTGTCTCTCTCTGGCTTTCTGTCTCGTTTATTTTTCTCCCCCATTAACTATTCTGAAGAGTAGTTATCATACCATATTCAGCTTTAGAAGGGAAGTGGTTTACTTTGCCAGGCCTAGAACCCCCTCCCTGCCCCCTCCTCTTGAGGCCACAAAGAACATTTCAGGATAAGAGAGTCTTTTCAACTAGTGAGTATTTATTCATTTATTTGTTTTCATTTAATTTATTTTTTTTTTGAGACGAAGTCTCACTCTGTCGCCAGGCTGGAGTGCAGTTGCATGAAGCTCTCTGCAACCTCCGCCTCCCAGGTTCAAGTGATTTTCCTGCCTCAGCCTCCCGAGTAGCTGGGACTACAGGCATGTGCCACCATGCCCAGCTAATTTTTGTATTTTTAGTAGAAACGGGGTTTCACCATGTTGGCCAGGACAGTCTCAATCTCTTGACTTCATGGTCTGCCTGCCTCATCCTCCCAAAGTGCTGGGATTACAGGCGTGAACCACCGCACCTGGCCAACTAGTAGGTCTTTAAAAAAAAAAAAGAGAAGAAAAGAAAGTTTGTATTTATTTACTTGTGGCCCTCAGATGGTATTTCTTCCATTGGCAGCTTAGATTTCCTCATGCTGCTAAGTATAGCTGTATTTTCCCTGACTCTTTCTCTGATGGTCAGAAAACAGGTTGTTTGGCTTGTGCTTTCAGCTGGTGGAGGATGGGCT